TGTTTATTCCCCTTCTTCACGTGTGTGTGCAACAGAACACTGAGCTGCTTTTATAGTTTGGAGACATTTGCCAACAAAGTCCTCTGGCCGGCCTCGAGCCCTTGGATGCACTTCTCGTTCTCACTGCACTCGAGGGGCCGTTGACACTGGTCGGTATGGCGGCGATATACCAGATGGTGAACGTCGGAGAGCGTCAGCATAGCTCATGGGACGGTGCTCGTCATCAGGACCAGTGGTAGAAAATGCGTGGCGGATTTTGTCGCGTACCAGTTCAGCGAAGGACGCAACGGGGGTTTGAGCAACCGTAGTCCGGAACTTTTGTAGTTCTCCGTGAACTATCTCCCTAATGAGGTCTCGCTGGGAGCTGGGATGGAGGGCGCGCTCAATAGCCGTGGCCTCCTTGATAAAGTCAACTACGTTACTTGGAGGGTGGCGCAGTAGCTCGGCGAAACGTTGCTCTTTAACGCCGCGCATGAGGTAGCTCAACTTCCTATCTTCACTCAGAAGTGTGGCAGCTTGGGCTAGTTGATATGGCATGACGATAGTTATAGCGCGAGAACAAAACGACGATAGTTATAGCGCGAGAACAAAACGACGGTAGTTATAGCGCGAGAACAAAACGACGACACAGAGAGCTCGACGAAAAAGACGAGTCATATCTTCAGCGAACATAGCAACGGTTTCATTGGGTTTTTGAACCCGTAGCTCCAACAGCTGCTGCGCACGGTCGCGTCGATCGACATTGGCGAACGTGTCGACAAGCTCTTTTCGGAAGTCGCCGCAAGTGAACAGACTGGCTTCTCTGTTCTCATACCAAATTTTCGCACCGCCGTCAAGGTAGAAATAGGCGCGTGAGAGCTTTTCTTGTTCAGGCCACAGGGTAATCTTGGCAACACACTCATAGTGTTCAAGCTAGTCGTCAACATCTTCATGGGCGCTGCTGCTAATGTGATCGGGAACCAGCGGTTGAAAGATGGTTACCTGTGAAGGCTGTGTCGGCAGGGGACCTTGGGGCGTCGGTTGCGGACTGGCGTTGGCCATTTAGAGAGGTAATCCGCACCTGCGAGGTTCCGTGGAAGGAGTGAACTATGGCGTGAGGCCTATCTGCTGCCGACTGCACTGGTGAACGGGAGTTGCAATGGGTGGCAATGCGTCCGAGCTAGATGAACGGCTCCCAGTGGGAGTACAGCGCAAACAAAAGGCCGAAAAACGTTGACACAGCGATTCTCAGCAGCCGAACAGCAAGATCACCTTCTTTTTTTTCTTTCAGCCAGAGCTCCACTATGTGGTGTCCGCCAAATCCCCTTATCGTCGTTTTTGTCCACCAGAACACACGCGTCAATATGTACTGTACAATGTATAACTGTGTGGGCTACATTGCACATGCACTGCAGTGCTGTAGTGGGCGTTATACAGCTGAACCTTGTTATAATGAAATCATGCAGGGTATGAAAATACTTTCATTTTAGGCATCCATAAAAACATCGGGGGAAAAAAACATCAAATATGTGACAACCTTCATACTAAAGAATAGAAGTTGGGTGTCTCAAACGTACCTGTAAAGGTTCTTCAACAAATATTGATGGCTCATTGGCACTTTTCTCTGTCATTCCCCTTCGGCAAAAGTCGAAAGAGGGAGGTGATGCGCTAGCTGCTAACCCTGCCCGCGACGGATCGCACATGGCACACAAGACCACATGCCGGGACAGTCAATCCGTGCAGAGGAGTCAACCCCGCCGCCGCCCCAAGATGGAGGCGCACTGGAATAACTCAGGTTGACGACCACAGTTGTCGGGGAGAGCAGGATGCAACGTCAATACTCCTAGTGCAGCACCGGTGCTGGCGAGCTGTAATCTGTTGTGCTCATCGTATGTTGTGGTCGTTGTCGTAACTGTCCGGACCGTTGGTGTATCGGTGGCGGCCACTCCTCCATGTGGCAGTCTTCGAACGCTGGTTACCCCAACAGCCATGGGGTCGTGACATCCCTGACGAAGCTCAGACTGCATACGCCTCCGATGCTCACTTCTGAATCCTCGCTGTTTTGGATACCGGACCGCATTTTGCATTCTCTCTCGATGAAGCTTTGGTCCTCGAGGACAGCCACGTTACATGCTAGGCCACACACGCTGATGCAGTTGCTTGTGTTTTCCGCAGATTCCTCTAACTGCTCCAACTTCTCTCTCGTCCTCTCCATGGATTCCTGCAGCTGCGTCAAATATTCTCCCAATGTGGATTGTTCCGAGTTTCCCACTTGCATCTTTCTCGTCTCAAGCTCCTTCATCAGTCGCTTGTTCTCCATCGGCCGAGACAAGCACCTGCTTCAGCTCAGCAAGCTCTTCCTTCATGCTGCTTTCTTTAATCCCCTTCTTCTCGTGTGTGTGCAACAGAACACTGAGCTGCTTTTATAGTTCGGAGACCTTTGCCAACAAAGTCCTCTGGCCGGCCTCGAGCCCTTGGATGCACTTCTCGTTCTCACTGCACTCAACTACTTTCTTACTCAGTTTCACAGTTAGTGCTTGCACCTGACTTGCCTCTCAGTCATACTCCTCCTGGGCATGGGCAAGCTGCGCACGGAAATCAGATGCCTGCTTAAGTAGCTCATCTACCTGTGAGTCTTGAAGTACGTGCTGCCGTTGGAGCTCCTCTTCGTGTTTGCGTCGCATGTTTGACAGTTCAGTGTTCCTCTCAGCAACTGGCTCTCAAACCTGGCACACTGCTCCTAATGATCCTTGAGACGTTTTTGGGAATTTTCAAGCAGCCTGTTCATGCGACTGTGCTCCAGCGAGTCCTCAGCCAACCTTTTCTCCAGTGTACGAACCTTGTCCTTCAGTTCAGAAATGTGGTGGTTCTTCTCGGCAATCATGATGGTTGCCTTGGACTTGTAGACGTCATGCTCGTGCTCGAGACCATCACGTGCATCAGCCAAGCTTCCCAACTTGCGTTCCCACTGTCTGATGTGGGTTGTATGCTCCAGACGATCCACTTCGGCTTTAAGGGAAGCCTTGTCCCTCTCAAGGTCACAAGCACGAACCACCTCTGCACAAGACTCCGATTCATCTGGTGTTATTCCTGCGCCCCTGCATTCCGTTACTCTCGGTTTCTTTCTCTTATTCCTCGTCTTCTTCCTTCTTTTCACGTCTGCTGCTTCGTCATTACGGGACTTTGTGACCGCATTCATAATCACTGCCCTCACTCGCTCTGCAGGGCCGTCTCATGTCATGTCAATGTCCCACATTACGCCAGCGCCTGCTCCAATGTCGGCGACATCCCATGAACTCTGTCGACACCAATGGGCCTCTTCCACGCCTCCATGGAGCTCACCTCCCTCCTCTGCGAAAGTGGGTACGGGCAGAGTAGATGGGTCGGCAATTTGCCGAGCAAAGCGAGCAAACTCTTTCAAGGATAAAAAAGAGCGACCCAACAGGTGTGGCTGGAAATGGGGGTGGCAGTGCCGCATAACGTGCGAATCTTTTAACGGTCTGAGAAGCAGTGAGGTCCGCTTGACGGAGGAGCTCCTGCATGGCCCGAACACAATCGCGCAGACCCTCCTCTGGATGTTGCGTTCGGGGGTCGAGCTCACGCCACATCCGGTAGTCGTAGGCGAGGGGCAGAAACTCTTCCCGCAATGCCGTGACGAAATGGTTCCAGGACTGAAAGGGTGGTTGAATACGTCGCCATCGTTTTGCGGCACCAGGCAGGGCAACTGGGAGGACCCGCCGGAGCACACCGGACTCTGAGAAGCCACTACCGGTCGAGTACACGAAAAGATTTTCAATGACGTCAACGACCGATTCCCTTGCGTCTTGACCGGAAAAGGCGGGCACGGTCAGTGGCGTCATCAGGGCCATGGTCGCAAACTGACAGGTACCGAAATTTCTGTGACCCAGGGGCAGGGTTCTTCCCATTGAGCGCCAAATGTAGGGGTTCAAGGCTGCTCAGCCCGGAATCCTGCAGGGAAAACGTGGAGCTACACCAGGAACCTTTTTTATTGCTCTAAGCCTCGGCCGCAACTGCCCGCTGCCAGCGGCTGCCGTGTGTCACCGAGCGCACCTGCGATCGTCGTCATCCTCTTCCTTCTGTAATCCGCAGGCTCACGGCTGCTGCTCCCGTAGACTTTGACGACTCAGACAGGTTGTTGTGAGCTTCACAGACAGCTGCAGGCGTGACGGAGAGGGCGACCGGGCATTTGAAGAAAGCGTGGGGGGGACGATTGCGTATAATTTAGAGAAGACGCGCATGTTGTGCTCTCATCGCAAAGTTAGTGCTGGAGCCATAGACAGCCCGAAGGTAACTTCACTTACAGCAGCAGATGTGTTTTGTAAAGGAGTGAGCTGCTATACCTATTCTGTATAATATTTCAGTCTTTTGCTACCACATTCATTGTCTCGCTCTTGCTCAGGTGAAGCTGGCACTTTTTTGCATTCTTGTATTTGTTGCTCATCCCAAAAAGTTTTTGTAATATTAAAGGTGCCCTGCAACACTTTTTGAGCATGGTCAGAAAACGCTGCCGATCGGTAGTAGACGCTCCTGAGAACACACGAGCCAAATGTTAGAGTGCAGCATGCAGCCTGGAATCCTCAATAAATTATCAAAGTCAGCTATAAACTGCTTTCTTTTACCTTGACAAATGACGTAAGACGCCCAAAAATCACTCGTAGATCCCCTATACGTCAGCCATTGGCTAATTTGAACATGGTGCGCTCGGTTATTACAGAGATCGCCGCGAGGCGCCTTCACTCGCCCACGCGTGCGCATGCGATCACACTGAAAAAGCCACGTATTTGAGGAAAAGAAGCACTCAAGGTCACGACGCGAACATGACGTTTTTTCTTTGCCCCTCCCATTCTTCCCTGCTTAGTTTCCAGCACTTTCGTCAGGACAAGAGAATGCGATTGCAGCGTGTGACAAAGCTTTGTAACTCCGCTTGTACTGGACGGATTCTTAAAATTTTTGCACCATTGAATTTGAGAACCAATACGCTTTTCCAGTGAATTAGTTCCGTAGTTACTCAAAGAAGTGTTTCAGGGCCCCATCAATGAACGCACCGAGCAAAGCACCCTATCCTTTTTTTTTCCAGGAAAAAAAATGCCTGTTCACTGCACAACTAAATACGGTATTGTCATTTCTTTTCCGCACCATGAAACGCCCAACCTTTACATTACACATACTAGCAAACACAGCACACATCGCTAGAAGATGACACAAATCACACACTCCCATTTGCACACACATTCGAAATGATTTGATGACTTGTGAAAGATCATTTCACATGATTTGCAACAGCGAACAAACTTTAAAATATTTATCAGAAAATATGTTTGAGCTGTGAGAAGACGTAAGCACTTTCAAGACCTGATGCAGTTGTGTTGAGCTATGACATCTTAACACAGCACAGAAAAATACGCAATTCTGGCACAGATTAAATATATACAAGAAAACGAGGATTTGCAGTACTTGTAAAAACCTGCCGTGGTCATAAAACATTTCTAAAACTACAAGAAACAATCTGCGAACATTTAAAACGAAGCTTGAAACGAGTAAATAAAGAACACTGAAATAATGGGCTAAAACAGTAAAGTATGCCCTTCGCTTCAAGTAGAGTGGAACTGGCACGATAAACATTGTCTACAAAATGTATAAAAGCACTAAGTTTTACACCCGGCAAAAAGACAAGGGAAAAAAATGAAGGCCTACATACATATAATAATGATTACACTAAAAGCATGCATATACTAATGATTTTGCCTATTTTCAAAATTATCTACAAAGAGGCAGTTAAAATACTTGACAGGTTTAATTAAAACTACTATAAAGGCTTCCAGAGAATATATTTGCACTAAATGGCAGATTGGTGCTTATAGTTTGGCAAAAAAAAGCTAGAGTGAGTTGTATGGCATGACATATCACACCAAACAGTTGCGACACTAGCTTCAATCGATGATGCTCAAAGTGATGCACTGCTGTTAAACTGGCCACATGGTGAAACTCTTCAGTTAAATGATAAAATACCTCTACCTGCCCAATGATACTACAGAGCTCCACTGCAAGATGCTATGTGTGCGTACTTGCTTAAAATGTTGTAAATTTCTGGCAAAGTCACAGACTTTACAAGGCAACACCACACTGAAACCAGCGGCTCAGGTTGTCCAGAGACTGCTTCATAAGCACACAGCGCCACTACACCGGCATGATGAGGCCCTTCACAAATTCCCAGAAGTGATCAACAGCTTGCCCTTGCGTGTCGCCACTCGTGACCTGCAGATCACGTGGAAGCTTGGATGTCAGCGAGCGTTTCAGTTTTTCCCAGTAGCTAATGTTATGTGGCTCAAAGTCCTTGCAAAAGTTGAGAGCGTCTGGTGATCCACGATAGTACTCCGACAGCAGGCGCTGTGGAAACAGATGAATAGTTTAATATGCTTCAGTCTACAGCATATAAAAACTGTAGAATCACTGGTATTCTCACAAATGATTAGAGTGATTTTACTTTCACCCTTCCCCAAGGACCAATACTGTGAATATCTTAGAATATTCATTAAGAGATTTAGAGGGACATGATTCACCCCCCCCCCCCTCCCCGAATCCACATAGAACACCTCCAGGTTTGAATGACTGGAGCCAGTGAACTGCATTTTTAAGTTCTTGCAAAACAATAAATACCTAGATGTCAGTGTGGAATACATATTTGTCCTAAATCTCACACATTCTGCTTATCGCTCTTATTAACAGCTTATTCTATCCTTCTCCACTGATCGAGTACAGGTTAGGATTAGGATATGTCTATAAACTGGCAGCACCAGTATAGTAAACTGGCAGCACCAGTATAGATAAGTTGCCCCTGAAAAGCCTTGGTTTGCAGTTTAACCTCTTTTGCACCACAACTGAGCTCACTTCATTTGAGCATTTCTGGTAAAAACAGCCAATGATGAGCCCCCCCCCCCCTAGTTAATTCACAAAAATCTCAATTTTCTTGCAGACAGCATTCTCTCATGAATGACAGTAAGGAGCCTCAACCAGACATGTAAACACAAGAAAATAGGACCATACAAAACAAATTCCAACGACCAATTCAATGGTTGCATTGTGGTGGAAAAGAAGGCAGAGACAAAACTTATCTGCGCATGTTCATGAATGGCAGTGCCACCTGTCAATCAGCCCCATACATGAGTCTGTCTTGGAGATAACTGTTTAGGCATTTTATTTACTTTTTGAGCAAGTTAATCATAGGTTGGCACTCCCATGAATTTCCAATACTACATACTGAGAGGCCTAGCCTCAACCATTATACCGGTGTCACATGTCCATTTTCGATCGCGATCAGGCGGCATCTGGATTAAGTTTTTTTTTACTGTTATTGACTTCCTCACGCAAAGAGCATGATAAATCATTGTTGATAAATTTCATACCGATCGTAATTGACTGCGATTAGTAGTGCACTATGTGACACCGGCACCAGACACGTATCTTTTGTCTTGTGTTAGAAGCTCTTTCAAAAAACAACACATTACTGTAGAATCTTAGTTATATGATCAGGCTTGTATAAATTTCAGGGCGATACAAATTTTTCTGTGATCCTGATCAAGGCCCAATAGCCTGCGATTTGCTAGAGCATGGTTGTTAAAAAACCAATTTTTGCCCTGCAACATTTGATACGGATACGAATGCACACTACACCTCACATGCGAGCAGGTGCCACCCACATGGCCATGAAAGTTACTGCCATCAAGAGTGAGTGCAGGCACCATTGGCATGGGCGCCTCGCTGCCAGTTTTGCTGGTTGTCAGCATCACACATCACCAGTGTGTTATAATCTCCGAAATGCTGCGTGCAAATCTTGGAGGCCCCGATGCACCTAAGTCTGTATGCTTATACAGTAAATATGCCTGTGCTGATACGATAAAAGCTTGTTAATTGAAACTCGAAGGGTACTATAAAATTGTTTGAATTAAGCAGAGTTCCAATTAACAGAAAAATACTGGAATGAACGGGCATCATGCCACAATGCACCGGCAGAACCATAAGAAGCCACCTCTGGACACATCACAAATTAGGCACTACTACATGTTTATGGCAGGTGGCTAAATAAATAAATTTATTATAGCTCTAACAGCAAACACAATTAGTCAGGGATATGAAAGAAACAAGCACTGACAACCATTCATGTAAGCAGTGAGTCTTAATTTTTAAAATACATGATGCTATTCTTGCTCCAAAACACGTTATTTAGATGGCACAGTTAATGCATTCAAAATTAAAGATAACCAATAATTCGCATTTGCTTGCATTTCTTCTGTCATGACTCCATTGTTTGCAGCATGCTTAAGAGCTAGGGCAGTGTATGAATTCTCATCTGCTGAGAAATGCTGCTGTTTAGTTGTTTTGTACAACTAGACAATTTGGGCTGCAGCGAGGAGTGATGAAAAACCAGAGGCTTCCCATTTGAAGCGACCATTGTCGATATCGACACAATCAAATTACCGGGAGTTTCCCCCCGCAGATATACATAGCACTGTGCCGGAACCAGGGCTGTTATTCAAATTAATTAAGTTCAAATTAAGCAAGTTTGAATTCACAAGCTTTAACTGTAGGTGACGTTGACTGTTCTTTTACAAAACAATCATTTTTAACAATGCTCCAAATTGTACGGGTACAGCCGAAAATTTTGCAAAAAGCAGCCCCCACTCCACCACAAAGAAAGGGGGGAGAACACACAAATGACAGCCGTTCTAATATTTTCCGTGCCTTGGTCTATTGCATGCGGCATGCTTAAGTTACTCTTACCGCAGTTTAGTGGTGTCATATAAAAAAGTGCACTAATATAAAGAAGCGGCTACCACCTGTCATAGGATCATCACATTTACACACATGTGCCTAATTCACGAGCACCATCATGACCACTGATGTCTAAAAACTTTACTGGCAATCATTCACAGCTGTCTATGACACAGCTGCAGCCCTGCAGTAAATAAAAGCGCATACTGGTTTTCTTTTGTAGCCTTATTTTTTTGTTATTTATTGTGATCCCCCAGATCCATGTCACAGAGATTTTTCTGAATATATGCCTGATGAAGTTTAGAACCCAAAAGAACAGCTTTTTGGCTTGAAAAACTCTAGATCACCAAAGATATTCAATCTGCACTGTGCACGGAATTAAGCACCACATCAAAACTTCAAGTAATCCAAATGAAATGCATGATTTCTTGAGCTAACGGGATGTAGTTGCTGAAGACGATGTAAATAGGTTAAAGTACATGTATAACTTCCTAAATTGACATTTTATTCCATAAGCAAGTGCAAGGATGACTCTATTCTCTCCCTGTGGATTGGGGCTGCACCACTGCTCAAAAGGTAATCTTTCACAGTAACAGCCCAAAGCTATGGTACAGAAGGCATAAGTCAGTGTAGAGTACTAGTTGACCGAAACAGTGCTTCCTCCCTTTTGAGCCATGGCCCAGGCTTTACTAGCACAATGTAACTGTGAATGAAGGAGTAAATCATTGGTTTTTTAGTGAGATGCAGCAATGCTACTTACCATTTCCATTAGAAGATCCTGAGTGAGGAATGAATCCTGTGCAACATTGTACATCATCTGCATTGGCCTTCCATATTCATTTGGTCTGTGCTGTAAGCAAAAGTGACAAAACTCAGTGACTATACTTCAATACTTAAATACTTCCCCCAAAAAACTTGGTAATTGTCAATAACTCGAGGAGGCTTTTCAGAGTGAATTAGCTCCAGTGTCCAAGACAAAATGCTAGCTGAAGAAAATGCCTATTTACAGGGGTGCAACAGCTGAAATAGAATTTGGAGCAATTTTTGGAGAAGCAAAATGTTACTTTTAGAGCACGAATATCTAAAAAAAAAAGCCTGTTTTTTTTTTTATCACCAAAACCAAATTTGGAGCGGTATCAGAAAAAAAAAAGAGAGGGAAGCTTACATTTAAAACCACCGCACTCAGCAAACAATGATAAAGTCTACATTAGCATTTGCCATGCCAGTGAAATCCTTTACCAGACTCTGAGGATTAAAATGTGGATTTGCCAAGCCGGAGACCTTAGCAGTAGCAAAAACAAAAAAACTGGCGCACAGTTCTGTTTTATTTTTTTAGGGCTGCACAAATGCTATAAGTGCTCCAAATGATTGCCAGCAACTTTTTTAGAGGTCAGCGACCATACGAGGTCTGTTAGTAAAACGTTCGACCTTATTTTTTATTTTATTTTTTTTGCGAGCAGCTGATGAATTTGAAACAAGCACGCTTGCATCAGCCAATCTTGAACCTTAGTGCGCATGCATGAATTTTTTCCCCCCTGCTAATAGCGTAAGTCACTGAGATGCAACGTTTGAGTGAGGTAGTGAGCAGTGCTCTCGTTGGTTTTTTCATTGCAAGGAAAATGACGGAGCGACTGGTGCTGAGCTACTGCATAAAACACTGCCCGAAACTGGGCAACAGCCAAGTGGAAACCATTGGGAAGATCAAGAGGGCTTTCGATGATGATGCTACGAGCTGCACACAGATTAAGGGGTGGGTCCAACCAGTTTAAGGACTGCTGCACATCGGTGGAGAGCAAGCCACGCTCCAGTCGGCTATCAACGTGCCACAATGACCGGGTGATTGCTGAAGTGAACGCTGTGGTGATGTGGGACCGTCGTGCAACTATCCGGGAAATTGCAGAAGAGGTGGACATTAGCACTTTCTCTGCACATTCCATTATTACCAAAGATTTGGCCATAAAGAAAGTAGCGAAGAAATTGGTGCCAAAACTGCTCTCGATAGAGCAAAAGCAACTTCTTGTTAAAGTCTCATTGGACATGCTGGATTTCACAAGCAGTGACCTTGACATCATGAACACCATCATCACTCATGATGAGCCTTGGGTGTATGGGTACGACCCGAAAACCAAACCTTAGTCGTCACAGTCCAAGACCAAAGAAGTCCTGCCAAGGGCGCAGCAACGTCAAAGTGATGCTGAGTGCGTTTTTTGACTCCCACAATGTAGTACACCACGAGTACGCACCACAGGGTCAAACAATCAAGTACTACAGGGATGTCCTCTGTCGCCTATGTGATGCTGTGCGGCGCAAGAGACCCGAGTTGTGGTCAATACGAAACTGGCACATCCATCACGACAATCCTCCGGCAGTTAAACAGGCTCCTTACTCTCCTAATGTGGCCACCTGTGACTTCTGGCTGTTTCCCAAACTCAAGAAAACATTGAAAGAAGAGCAATTTCAGACAAGGGAGGACATTATGGCTGTAACAACAGCTGAGCTCCATTCAGAAAGAGGCCTTCTTGAATGCTTCCAAAAATAGCAGCACTGGGAGAACTGTTTGGAGTCTCAAGGGGACTACTTTGAGGGGGGTTAGGTTTCCAATGGTATAATTATGCCAGTTTTTTTCTTCCACCAAAGATCGGATACTTTTCTAACAGACCTCGTACTGATGATAATTGTGGTGCTTTTATAGCGCAAGGGCCATTTGATGACCAAAAAGCATCATTTCAGTAGATAAAAGATGTGGACAATGATACGGTACATGGCTATATAGGGGCCTTAAAATTTCTCGCACTTACGTGGGTAAAAACAAGGAAGTATTAAATCATGACAGTGACCTGAAATGTGTGCAGTCAGAATGAATGGCAAAAGGCTGCGATAATAAAAGTATGGTGGAAATATATGGCATTCAGCACATGTGCGTCTCAACGCCCTTGTGTACAAGGGCCGCGAGCAGGTGCTTTGTACAATGTATCCACCATAGAGGCGACCTCTCTGGAGAGGTTGTGTAACAGAATGCCTGGATATATGACATGACAATTACGTACGTGTCTTAAAAAATCCAACAATGATTTATGTATGAAAAGGGGTTCCCTACCAACAAACATCGCAAGATGAAGTGGTATCTGTTTTCAGTAGGGTAGTGAAAAGCATTGCCTTCTTAGCGTGTCCAGTTTTTTGCACTGTATTAAAATGTTAAGCACTGTTTGTGCTTCACCACACCTCCCACACAAAAATAGAGCTTCCGCTCTGTTTTTTTGATGGTAATTGAGACAAGACAGCTTCATGTCCTTTCCTTGATCCTGCACCAATTTTATTGCTCGCACATACATCTCCATTCACCTGAGCACCGTCAAAGGCAATTTTTTGCTTTTGAGACGCATGTACTCGCGAATATTTAGATATTTGTGAAAATTAATATTGTGGACTGCCGAAAGAATAATCGACGGTGAAACAACTGGAAACGAGGTGGCTACCGAGCACGCTAATTCTGACAGAATGCAGACCTGATAGCACAGGGTAATTTAAGCTTGACTGCTGTATATATACTAATTTTCCAAGACTATGCCTCTCTCTCTCTCTCTCTCTCTCTATATATATATATATATATATATATATATATATATATATATATATATATATATATATATATATATATATATATATATATATATATATATATATATATATATATATATATAGGCGAGAAAGAGACGACGAAACTTTCGTGGAAGCGTCTTTACTAAATGTTAATATAGACAACTGTTGGGTCAGTTGGTGTTTACACAAGGAAACCACCATCATTAGTGCAACAAACAAGGAAACAAAAAGGAACAGGCACGCACAGGTGCATCATCTTACATTTGAATTTATTGAATGTAGATCCACTGTAATATGTACCAAAAAACGGGAACCATCACAACGTCCCATACAGATGTAAAAATATCAAAGAGAGCACGAAGTAAATTGCATTTCAGCATTGGAAAGCGCAGTGGAATGGCGACTTACCCACTCCCAACCCACTTCTATAATAATAATAATAATAATAATAATAATAATAATAATAATAATAAAAAACACGCTTCTAACTTTTGTTGAGCTTATTTTAGTGGCGAAGCTCCTTAGTGTGTGGGTCTGTCTATCCTTTGTATGTATGTAGTAGTACGTAGCCACTGTGAATGGACGCGCGGGTGTACGGACAGATGGACACACGGACAGACAGACTCACGGATGGACAGACAAACGGTTAGACGGAAGCATGGACGGACTGACGGACGCTTCGCCCCACTCATCGCCATTCACACCGTGGATATGCTGTGAATTTTTTTTGCCTACTTCTTCCGACAATCTTTGTGCATCGGAAAGGTGGTTGCACCTGTACTTGTCTGTTTAATTCTGTTGTCTTTGGTTCGTTCCTGGGTTTCGGCACCAGAACGAAGTGTGAGAAACGAAGAAGGGGACCTGGACCCGATCGTCTGGCTACGTTGAAGGTCAAGGGATCAACTGAGCGAGCCAGTGCCCAGGCTCGTGCTTGTGCCCACCTCCCCTTCTTTCTCCTTTATTTGCAACAGGTGGATCACAGCCGGACAAAAGGTATGAATGTGTCGTGTATGTGTGTCCTATCTTTTAGCCTTGTTAGTGAAACTTCTATGTGGCGTGATATCGATACTGGCGGCCAATGATCCAAGTTGCGGATTAATAACGAGTTAATTTTGCGTTTGTCTATCCCATGTGCTCTGCCAATAAGCTCTAAGTCTTTGTCTAATAAAAGGTAGGAAATCAAGTGCAGGGACAGCTATTGATCTATTTGGAGCGGTTTGTTGGCGGATGCAGCTAGCTGGTCCCTCAACAAGTTTCTTTGTACAGTATAGACCGCTTATAACATAAGTTGCGAATATACGCACTATAACCTAAACAGCCTTTATCAAGAGCCGCAACTGCGCAAAACTCGAGCAAGCAGCCTTGCGTGTCCGAGAATTGAAGCATCCAATGCATGGGGCCTACAACCTTTTTTTTAAATTTCTGAATGTTAAAACAAACAAACAAACAAACGCCAGGCTTGCCAGAACGCACAGCATAGTCACAGAAGAGCAGCATTTCAAAGCCTTTTCTAAACACTCTTTGGGTAACTGATACAAGCACACTGCTGGGTACGCACTACACCACGAATAATCATGCAGAGTTCATACAGATTTTTAAAAAAATTCAAGGATACTCCAAGACCTATTGTAAGTTTTTCAAGGACTCAAAGCGGCATGTGAAATTGACGTTTCTCACTCTAAAATTTTCAAAAATGACCATTTTTATTGCACTTACAATATATCTATATCACATTTATAAAAAAAGAGCATAGCCTTTATAACTTCTCGCACCCTCTCCATAGGGAGAGGGCACGATGTCATGTCGGAAAGTTACGTGCTGATGGGCTTCTACGCACATGTGTTGTCGGGCCATAAAGGGGTCGTGCCACAGTATTTGTGGCTTGCACGCTCTTTGCTGCTAGCTTTAATTATAGCTCCAAGAAGCACAATACAAGCACCAAGATTCACTTATTCTTGCTATATAATTTGTTGCCTTTTTGATATGGACAATTTTCAATTCATGTTTGTGGGGACCAAGTTGTGCAGGTTAGCAGTGTAGCAGACTTAGTCACGTGATCACAAAGCTTTGCAAGCGTCATGCTGAGTATTGTCAGCTCTCGCACACATGTGCCACACAAGCACCTGCAAAACGAACTCGCCGCTACTTGCAGCAGCCGTGATGCTTTGCCGGTATGTACGTGGCGGAAGCCTGGAGGACACTCAGCAGACTACAGATCTGGTGTGACATCACTAAAACTTTTGTTGCCCT